TTTCCTGCAGCAAAATTCACAATAGCCAAAATATAGAATCAACGTGTAAGTGTCTGTCAAAAGATGAAAGGATAAAGAACTAGTACATAAAGACAATGGGATCCTTTTCAGCTGTAAATAAGGAAACCCTGAATTTGGGAGAGTGTGGATGAAAATGGATGACATTATGTTACCCTTCAGAAGCCAAGCACAGAAAGTTAGATGCTACATTATCTCATTTTTTGCATGGAATCTAAAAAAGTTGATATTATGTAAAAGAGAAGGTAGAACAGTGGCTATCAGAGACTGGGAAAGTTAGAAGGAGACGTTGAGGAGTTGTTCAGAGAATGCGAAATTACAGTTTGATGGAATAATAAGCTTGAGAAATATTGTTATGTATAGCATGTGGCTAAAGTTAATAATACTACATTGTGTATTTGAAAAATGTTAAGAGAACGAAACATTGTGTTAATCACAAAAAGGATAACTAAGTGAAAAACTACATATGTTAATGAACTAGATTTATTCATTTGACAGTGTATACATATAAACTTCAAAATATCATGTAATACATGATAATTCCATACAACTCTTGTCAATTTAATGAAATTGAAAATTCAAATATGGAGAAAATCATACACTTGGTACTGAGACATTGCATTTATTTTGCAGTTCATATTTAAAAATGATATATTTTTTAATTAAAGAACGTGATGTGCTAAATGATGTCTTATTATCCTTCTATAAAGGAACTATACATTTGCTATGTGTGACTTCTACAATCAGGCTTCACAATAGCCTCATTTCACCTGCTCAATTCTTTCTCCAATTCCCACCTCCTTTATAAATGTATGAAGTTACAAAGTAAATTATGAGCATGAGGCAATTGTTAGTGTTTCCGGTGATTTTGAATCTATAAATTATTGAAATATATTACATTTTCTTTCATCATAAAACTTATAAATATGAAAGTATATTGCTTATATTCTTTAAGACGATAAGGGAGATAAGAGAATAGATGTAAATGTTTCTCACCACAATCATAATTATGAGGCAATACATTAGCTATGTTTATTCATTCCACAGTGTACATATATTTCAAACCATCATGTTGTACATGGTACAATACAGAATTTTATGGAGCTTTACAAACTAAATTAAAAAAAAGTGTATGGCTATAAAACAAAGAGTCAGAGTATCCCATCTATGTCAGGAGGAATGTGGAATATCTGAAAGAAACCTTTAGCATATACTGTATATTTAACCACCGTTATTATTACTTCCTGTTGTGGCTTTGAACTAGATGCTCCAGGAGCCTCATGTGGTCATAGGCAAAGTTCTCAGAGGGCGACTGGGTTATGGGCATCCAGAGCTGACTTGCTCTTATGAAGTGGGGTCTGGCCGAAGAGGCGGGTGACAGGGCGTGCTCTGGAAGGGCATGTCCTCCTTCTTTACTCTCTGTGCTCCTTGGCCATGGTCCATGACCCTCTCCATGCTGTCCTCCCTCGGGCCAGCTATGGATTTAAATGTGAGCCACAATAACCTCTCCTTCTTGGAGCCGTGGGTGCTGGGTACTGTGTCTCGATGACAAGAGAGTGACTAAGATAATCCCACGGAGAGGCATATTCTTCAGAAATAAGCTGACTTAAAATAATTCTCAACTCCATGATTCTACAATTTGTTTATTAAGCTATTTCTGTATGTAATGAGTGCAAAGATGCATTGGGTTTTTTTTAACAAGTATCTTTCACTAAGTAAAATAAAAATTTGATTCCATTTTGTTTCCTATCTGCCAATGGTATGTATATTTTCCATTTGTATAACAAATTAGTTTTTATTGTGTAACAGCAGGAAAAGGATGAATTCCCTAAACAATTTGATATACTATACTTATTACACACAGATTAGTCTCCTCTTGTGGTTTTATTTATCATCAAATTTCTGACAAAACAGAAATGAAATTTTGTTATTTAATTACCCAGTTGTGTTGATCAGGCCATATAGGAGTTAGGGAAGAAATTACAAAGGAATTTTACTCAAATCTCATTTCACTAGACATCAAACTTGTGGAAATTGGATTTTATCTACATAGATTTCATGAAATAATAAAGAATTTTGATATGAAAAAGAAAAACAGCCCAACCAGAGTTGAGCTGGTTCTATCAATTAGGCCTTGTTATTTCTAGACAGTGTCTAGCATTCACGATTAAGTCCACATTTGTTTTCTCCCTCTGACCACAAATAATTTCATACATGATTAACATTAGACAAGAACACTTGGAGGAGATCAGGATGTTTCAAGGTAAAACAGGATCACTCAATCATCACATGTGAACACAGACGAAGAGGAACACACCCAGGCCACTCCTGCCCTACACTCCCTTCTCGACCCAGTGTGGCAGCTACTTCTTTATCAGTTACAGCTTTAGCCTCACTCTAGCCTTCTCTTTTCATAGTAAAGAATGAGACACACAGTTATGAAATTTCCTCACTTTGCCTCCTGCCAACGTCTAATTCACAGCAAACCCCTGCTTTCTTCACAACCCTCCCCCTACCCTGGCCAAACTGAAGAACCAAAGTCCAAGCTCCACAGCAGGCCCTACCATCTTTGTATTGGGTCCCCCTCAGTTGGTACACCTATAGTACACCTCTCTCTCTTTACAATGCATAACGAATGCAACTGGTTCGCAGATGTGTTCCTGATGGTCTCTAGCTAAAGGATACTGGTATAAACAAGGCACCTAAAAAGCTCGACTGCAAATTCCAGTGTTGCTGGGAGGCTCTGACGTGTATGGTAGCCCAGTCTCTGAATTGTCAAGAAGACGAAATAGACTTCAAAGAAGAAAAGTTACAAGATGCAGATGGCATGCCAATGAGGAACAGGAGCAATTAGGGTGGGTGTGCAAAACAACATTGGACCGAGATTTTTGCATTGGACATCTATGCCAAGTAGGGAAGGATAAAGAACCCCGGGATGAAGAGCAGCATCAGGGCCCAGGAGAGGGACAGGTCACCTGCTGCAGGCCAGGAGCACCCAAGAGCATCATCCTAACTCCTCTTTAGAATTCACTTTCAAAAGAAGGTGGAACAAAGAATGGCTGCTATCAAGAAATCGACCAATAACAAATGCTGGCGGCGGTGTGGAGAGAAAGGAACCCTGCTCCATTGTTGGTGGGAGTGCAGACTGGGGCAACCACTGTGGAAATCAGTATGGAGATACCTCAAAGAACTAGGGCTGGAGGTCCCATTTGACCCAGCTATTCCCCTGCTGGGTATCTTCCCCAAAGAATTAAAAGACTCATACCACAGCGATATATGTGCACCCATGTTCATAGCAGCACAGTGTGTAATAGCTAAAGCTTAGAAACAGCCCAAGTGCCCATCAGCTGGAAACTGGATAAAGAAGATGTGGTTTTTTTATAAAATGGAGTACTACTCAGCCATAAAGAATGAGAAACTAGAGTCATTTATAGCTAAATGGATGCATATTGAGGCCATACTCTTAAGTGAAATAAATAGGACACGCATGTGTAAATACCGAATAGTTTCTCTAGTGTGAGAAACTGAAAGTATAAATAAGGATGAAAATGATTAAAACAAATAATTGATAATTTGAAATAGGAAAAGGTCCAAAGGGGTAGGGGTGGAGGGAGGGGAAGGGGAAAGGAAAGAAGGGAAAGGAAAAACTATGAGAAAAGAAAAACAATGGAAACAAAGTCTATGTAAATAGGGAAGGTGGAGGGGTGAAGGGTACATAGGTAATGGGGAAAAAATAAGAACTAAGATACATCATGTTCAGGTACAAGCACCCAATGATAAATGTAAATGTATTGTATAACTAAAATGTACCAATAAATATATAAATAAAAAAAAAGAAGGTGGAAATTTTGAGATGGGATGATGGGATAATCACAACGTCATTCAACAGAAGATGCGTCAGTCACTCTATTGAAGACATTACTTTATTCTTATAGTTACAAATTGGGACATAAGAAAAACTCATAATTTTAGAGCTAATGACCCTCCCACTTAATCACTGATAATAAAGTAATATGTGAATTTTCAGTAACTTCTTTAAAGGCAAACTCTGTTGAGAAGGGATTAAAATCCTAAGTAATTAGTGAGGAGGGAAGTACAGACACAAATGTAGATTTGAAAAACCAGAGTAAATAAAAGCTATATGAGTAATAATAATGATACCAATACAACAATACAGCAATAATGAATTTCGTAAAAGCAGGCATCATGAGTACCAAGGAAGCTCTTGGTTATTCTCCTGTTCCCCAATATTTGAGAATTGCTGTCCCAAGCCTAGTCTGATTTAAGCATCCATTGCAATTGAGCAGTGCACCCCCAGGTAACACTTCTCACTCTGCAGTTTCCAGCAGTCACGTGCCAGTCCCTGCTTCCAAGAGAAGGAAGCTTTCTAACAGGGAGTGGGACTCTGGGCTTGCTGCTCCCTTCTAGGGCATGTCCTTCCCTAGTCTCATCTCACCCTCAACCCTTTGCCCACATAGCAAGCACTTGCCAGGCCCTCGTGCCTGCAACCTGAACCCCTTCCGATCTGTCTCCTTTGCCAGCAGATTAACACCCAGAAGACAGAAAAGCCTGGCCGTGCTTCTCTGCTCTTACTTTTATTTTCTGACTCCAAGAAGATCATGCCCTCTGTTGCACTTTCTTGTTGAAATCTGCAGATTACATTTGAAAGTACTTTCCTATTACAGCCGGAATCATTGACCCGAGTTTTCACTTATGTAAGCTTCTATCGCCTCAATGACAATGACAATGTTTTATTAATCTATGGCCATTACAAGAATGCCATAAAATAAGTCCCTGAAGCATTTTTATTCTGGTCTTTTAATTAGGATAAAATGTGAGGAGCCACTCAACCAAAATCCCATGTTCCTTCTCCACAGGAGCTCATAGGATGAGGTGGAGGGCAGAGTCATAAACAGATGGTTATGACAGTGAGTGACACCTAACCCAGGGGCTGAGAGCCAGGGCTGCCAGGAGAAGGGTGTTCAGGGACAGAGGGTGAGGAATTGACTATTCCCGAGGGCAGGGAAGCACAGCTCCAGGTAAAGGGGGCAGGGTCGGATTCATGGGGTCCAAATCATTTCACCCAACAGAGACTCCCAAGAAAACATGAAACAAGAGGACCTTTAATGGGGAACTGATCTCACTGGTAAAGTTTTCATATAAGGTGTGAGTTTTAGGTCAGGGCACGTGACTAGAAATGTGGGCACAAGTGGTATCAGTACATAAACTGCACTGCCTTCAATCAACAGGAATTCTTTCTCCCGGGAGTTTATCTTGAAAGTGCTATAAAGTGACACAGATTTTAGGGAAGGAATGCCAGATAAAACATGTGTTTAGGAAATGCCCTGGCGTCATCCTGGAGAACAGAGTGGAGGGAAGGTCAGAGGAAGCCTGTTGAATTAATCTAGGCAGAAGATTACATTGTTTGAATGAAGAAGTGGCTATGGTAATAATTTCAGAAATACTTAGGAGAGACAAGGAAACACTCAGGTGATGGTATGAATACCAAAAGCCTGTAATTAGCTACATGGGAGAAAACATCAAGAATGAATCTCAGACTTCAGGCTTGAGTAGCACCTTGAAAGGAAATACAATTAACCTGTGTGTGCGTGTGTGTGTGTGTGTGTGTGCACATGTGTGTCAGGTAGAACCAGATATGGAGATGGGGTAAGGCTAACCCCATCTTGGCTAAGTACTTGTGTCTCCCCTAACGAGCTGCAAGAACCTGCTCTGCTTCTTAATCTCTCTAAGTCTGTTTACTCATTGGTAAAAGGAGGACACTATTATCTACTTGAAGATAACAGTGAAAAATTAAATAATAACCATTTTCTAGCACTGTGTGAAAGGTACGTGTGTAAGCACCGTGCATATGTTACTTGCTTATTTTGACCACTTACCTTCTGAGCTAGGTCTTTTATTCTTATTTCACACGGAGAGAAGCGGGACAGAGTAAATTACTAACTTGCCCAAGTTCACAGAGCTGGGATATGTAGGTCACAGCATCAGATCTGTACAGTCTGCTACAAAAGGGTGCTTTAACCAATAATTTATACAGCTTCTCATTAAACACTAAGTACTTTGCATAATTACTATCAGAATGCTTTGCAGTTACCCAATGGGGTGAAAAAAACATACAATCTGTCCACTTAGTGAAAGATTTTAGAGTAGAGGTTATATCCACATACTTTGCTGAACAGTCGGATAGATTTAAGCACAGTAAGACACAACCCATTTTGCGATCATTTATAATGTAATTTCGAACATAAAAATGTACATCACAGAAACATAATGACAAGGTCATGTGTTAAAACGGACTAGACAGTTACAAGTCAAGATATGAGTGTCAAGCTCTAGATTTAACCAAGCGACATGGAGATCTATGGGTCCAAAACTGAAGAGAGTGACGGCAGCTATGACATGTGGATGTGAGTGTCTCCAACACAGAAATTACAGGGGAAGCCATAAAATTGAAAGGAGACAGAGGCTGAAGTGGAGGGAGAGCCTAAAAATCTGCAGAAAGGGAAATGGGGGCCTGGGACGCTAACGTACACCAGGTATACGATCTCACTTCACTTCGGTGAGCCCCCAGGGATCCTTTGTGAAGCCAGTGAGCCTTGGTGTAAGATTCTGCCAAGAACTAGCTCTGCTTCTCATGTTCACAGTGTTTGCTGTCAAACATGTGAACATTAGAGGAATAGTTAAGAAGTTGATTTCCATCTCTAAACCTTAGAAAACAAACCTGGCTTCAGAGCTGTTACTTTGCCATGGTAAATAATTATTAAGTTCTTTTCTTTTTCCTTTTTTAAAAAAGAGGCCATTCAGATTGTTCCAATTGCTTTTATTTATTTTACAGAATTTCAGCATCAGAAATGCTCTGTCTGTTGCTACGTGCAGAAGATCTGCACAGAGAGTTAGGAGGCCAAGATGGCATGTGGAATACTCAAGAGGAATATTAGTGGGGTAGAGAGAGAATGGGAGTAATTACACTAAGCTGCCTTTCTGTTTTCTCCTGACGCTAGGATTTGCCTTTGCTCTTGGTTCATCCTGTCTTTCCTGGCTTCATCTGGTAAAGCAGAATTTTTTGAACTATATTATAATAAGAGGACAGTACAAGGATGCGGTATGCGGATGTTTAAAAGACTAAAAGGGAACCTTTCCAAAGGTTCGTTGAGGTCTCAGAGGAACCCAGGGGTGGACAAACAGGTGAAGGCTCTACCTGGGCCACTGCTGGCTCCCACCTCCAGCCCCGGAAGAGGCTGAAGGGAATGTGTGCCGAGGCCGGCAAAGAGCAGCTGCAGTTTCCCATAAAATCAAAGCAGTGAATCACAGCCATGCCTGGGCCAAGGGCGCGGGACCCCAGGACGACTGTGCATGATGAGGGCCACCCCAGGAAGATGAGAGCAGGAAAGTGAGCAACTCCACTAGTGTCTTCATTCTCCTCCACCCAGTAGCACCATCAGCTGTTGGCCCATTTAGCTCACTAAGGGGTCTGCAGTGGGAGATCTGGGGAAAGGGCCCACAAAGTTCACTCCATGTTTCCATCATGTACAGTATTAACAGTGATAACAAACAGCCACCGCAGCCCGCTGCCACAGGTTCATCACCAGGGCCTTAGAGCCCACAGGGGATATGGTCGGCACTCACTAAATATCTCTGAATATCATGCCAAGGGACGCATGAATCTAAAAGACAGCACCTCCAGCACTATTAGTGTCATGCAGCTCACTCTTTGTTTCTGGCCGTCTTGGATATCAAACTCAGAAATCTGTGCACGCGAGGCATGCACTGTACCAGGGAACTGCATCTCCAGCCCTTGTTTATTGTGAGACAGGATCTCATTAAATGGGCCAGAACAGGCTTAAACTTGAGACACTCTGGCCTCAGCCTCTCTAGTAGCTGGGATTACAGGCATGGACCATCACACCTAGCCTAGGGTTGAGTGTTAAAGAAGACTATCTTTCTTGTTAAACATAATCCAGTTGCCTTAAGAAAAATTTACATCTACTCTAAAATTATACTGTGCTTAAAGTTCTACGCTATGGAACACTACTGAGTGAAGCAATCGTTATTACTTCATTTGTATAACACCCAGGTGGAGGTACAGGAAGCACACCTCATGGTGCCATCTGGTCCAATTCAAACAGAGTAATAATGAAGTTCCAGAACAGGACAATGTCGGCATCCTAACGAATGCAAATTAAACCATGTTCTTAACTGTCTTAAAGGATGACATGATGCCTAGTACCTTGTCAATTTCTTAAAATGCATGATGAGGAAAGGATATTTTCATTTCGAAAATAATGACAAGAAACAAGTTAAGAGATGCAACTAATAATGTTTCAGATAAAACCTGTGCTTATTGAAATTTAAACTGCACAGGAGCGAAGGATGGATGATCATTTTCCCATGAGCACGCTCAAGAACCCTTGGTGAATGCAGCCAAGCTGCCCTCTGGGTCGCTTTCACAAAACGTGCCAATTTTCTGTCATTTCCTTCTCCGTAGGACAGTGTTTCTGTGACAAAGGTCTCTGGGTATGTTGCAAAACATCTTCAACTATTTTGTAGGGCACTATGCCAAGCATTCAACTAAAAATGCTACTTATTCTCTGCATTGATCAGCAGACACAAAACAGAATTCACCTTCTCCTTCTCCAGAAAGAAAGGACTAGAAAGTTGATTGTGGAATCCATGGCATACTAATGTCCCTTGTTAAAATAAAAAGGCTTAGCCAATTTGTTCTACTTCTATACAGAGCAAATAAAACCCTACAACTAATTACTTACAAAACTATGTTATTTTATATTCACTGTGGTCTTAGGGTTTCACATGTTTCCTTTTCCTGATGAACAGTGTTCCTGGGTAAGAGAATCGTTTAGGCAATATTTGGGATTCCAGGCACCTGACATGAGACCTGCTTCACTGCTCCTGGGCCTCTCCTTTCAGGTTTCACAGAGGTGGTGACACCCTGCAATTGTCACTCGGAAAGCAATCTTTAAAAAATGACTATTATTTTCTTTTTGAACACATTTTTGTAGCATTCCTTCTAAACTTCACGACTTTGTGATTCTTTAAAAAATGTTACTGTGAAAGTTAGTTCATAAATACTAAGTCCCACAAGTAGTCATATTAATGTTAAATTCATGCCACAAGCAAAATGAGCCATGGTCACAGTGTTATGTAATTGTGACTGCTCTGCTGACAGAGAAACGGTTCTTTCATTTAATGTTCCAAGGCCGCAGCCCTAAATCCTTTGCCACTGGTTTGTCAGCACCGTAATGCCTTTGCGTGTGTGTGTGTGTGTGTGTGTGTGTGCGCTTTTGTGTTTCCAGACAACAATTCTTCCGAGTTCAGGAGCTTATCTATTTTCCCAGGTGAAAATTGTTTTATTTTCCTCAGGTGTTTGCTTTCTTAAACTCTTAGAACAGTCAATTACAAATTGTCATTGTCCTTTACAAAAGGATCAGATTGCAAATAATTAGTGTTTGTGTAGTAGGTCATTCGAAGATATTTCTCCTCCTCCCCTTCCCCCGTTAGGGTTACAGGAGTCTCATACAAGGACCCGCAAATCCGCTTTGATCCCTTAGGTCTACCTGACAACAAGGCAGGTTGCCTACTTCCCTTCATTTGATCCAGACTCCACCTGATGTCTAAGTTCCCTCCCGAAGCAGGAACAAGGAGTTGACACTTTGGTGAGTGAAGCACAACACTTTCCCCAGAACTGCACAGGCCCGGTACTCATTCTCCAAACCTGAAAGCCAGGGCTCTTTCTGGAGGAAAAGGAGCCTGTCTGCTTTACACCTTGCTTTGTAGAGTATCAAGGAGAGACAGGGAATTGATGTTTTACATAAGCAATCAATTTAGCATCTAAAAAAGCATATCCTTAGTTTACTTTCTGGACAAGACCACTGGAGAGTTCTTTGCAGTGATCAGTGGTCTCATCCAGCTAGGAACCAAACATACCATTAAAAAGCTCAACTAGGGCCTAGGGACTTAGCTCAGTGGTTTCACCACTTGCTGTGCAAGCTCAAGGACTGAGTTAGATCCCCAGTACCAAAAAAACCCCAAAAAGCTTGACTATGAAATAGCATCTCCCACCTTTGCACAAATGACACTGGGTGCCCCAGCAAATAAAATTTCCATGGTCATCAGTTAGCCATAAGATTTGGGTATGGAAAAGTATTTTTCCTTTCTAAGAGTTAAATTATTAAAAGACTGGATACTTCTGATTATTTCCCTACCTAATGTATTTTTCATTTATGACAACAAGCAACAAAACACTTTCAGAGTACAATAAACAAAGGTCATTCAACCTCTACTTTGATTTTAAAAATAGTTTTTCCAACTTGGAAAAGAAAAAAATTATTTGGTCAAGTTTTTTTAGATTATCCTTTCCCAAAGATTAATATTAAGAAAGGCTTATGAAAAGGTAAACAGAAATTAAAATAAAATATGAAACTATGGAGTATGTGGCAGATCAATTTAGAAAACCAAAAGCAATAGCTCTTTAACTAAACTTCATGAGATTTTTCAGCTTCTCTGATACTAAGTAAAATGAGAATTTCATAGGCTGAATTTAGAGCTTTGTGGAAAGATACCATTCAAAGGTTAAAAGTCAAATTTCCTTATCCATCTTGTTACAAGTTTATAAATATGCTAAAAGAAGCATCATAGATTTAATTATCCCACCACGCAGCATTTATCATCTTAGAGAGCTGAAGGACAGCAACTGCTAATTAGTGGATGGCAGCGCATCCACTGTAAAGACATGCATAGCCACCCTCCTAAACAAGAAGGAATCTGCTCACCAACTTCTAGAAGAGAGTGCTCACCATGCGGAGGATCTCAAGACTGGCTGCAGAGACTACTGGAGGAGACGAAGAGACCAAACACATGATTTGCACAGCACAGCAGCTCGGAGCTCAAAGGGTGCACAGGGGCTCTGCCACTCATTTATCTGCAAGGTTATCCTGCCATACGAAAGTCATTCACATCCTCAGCATTCCAGAGCTAGGGAGGCATGCTCACACGGGATAAATATAGATCCTGACACCTGAGCCAAGTGCAATGAAAGTTAACTGGAAAAGTCTCCCTGGTGTGTGCCTGGGTGGAGGAAAATACCACCCTGGTCCTCTGCTTGCTGAGACCTGGGTGCCCCTTCAGAGACAGTTGCTGTGCTAATGGAACAGGGGCATTCTGGAGATCAAACACTAATAACCACCTTGCTTCTCCTCATGATTACTGTTTGTTCTGAGAGTAGACATGGCTCAGGTTCCCCTTCCTGCTGACCTGGATAAGCAGCATGAGAGTGAAAGTATTATTTAGACAACAAACAGGTTTCTGCTTTTCTCATGTTTACAGGTGAGTTCCTGACAGGTAAATATCTATTTAGTAGATTGTCTTCATATAGTATTTTTTCTCTGGTGTATTTTAGTAGTAATTTGGTTGTTTTTGTTTAACATAATTAAAGATAAAAAATGTGCCATGCACTTAAATTTTGGAGATCTTTGAATAATGCGGCTTATTTAGAATGAATTTTGCCTAACACTACAGATAGACATATGAATAAAACTATCCTCAGACTAAATAAAGTGTGGTTAAAGCTATTGCTCTAAAAAATAATGATGAGATTCCTAGCAATAAGTCACCCACTGAGATTATATATGAGAAATCTTTAATTCCGTATTAAAACAAAATACAGAAACTAGAAAAGAATTGTACTGCTTGCCCGATATTTTCAGGTATTAAGTATTTTCCATTAATATTTCTTTTATAGAATGGCATCAGAAAAAATGAGAGATTTTAGAAACACCACTTTTTAAATTAGACTCTTCTGCAACCAATAGTATTCACTGTCTCAGAAAAAATAGCTGCTTCGTCAAATTACCAAAATCAATATTTTCATGTGTTAGATCCTATTAAGGATTCAAGATCTATTAAGATCTCAAGCACTGAGCGTTGCCCATGTGCCTGGCACTTCGCCCTGGATGTATGATGTCATTTAATTTTTGTCTCCTCGTTGCAAAATAATCTTCCAAATTAACTTCACATTTGAATCCCGTTTTCCAGGAAAGAAAACAGAAACTCAAAGGATGATACTGATCCGGAACATGTGACTCATTAGTAGTCCATGGGCGAGTGTAACCACAAAGTGATAACTTGCAAGTGAGCTTTCTGTTCTGTCCTTCCGCGGTTACAGATTAAAAACAAATTACATCGGCCCTTAGATGTGCCAGACTCACCGCTCCACGAGCATTCCCAAAGCTTCTCTTTTTATCTCTTGTTTAAACAAAGTTAGGTATCCCAAGGGAATATTGCTATGACATCCAGAAACTCCCCAAAGCACTGCGTCCCTAAGGCGAAGACAGAGATGTAAGCCACGGTGCTGGCAGAGACACTTCTCGTGGACTTACGCATTGAAACCCTTCTCGCCCATTGCAGAGGCGGAGTTTGACCCTCCGCACCCGAGCCTGGAACATCAGTCCTGATACCACGACTCCTCTCAGACAGTAGGAAGCCTGACATGGGAGAGGGACAGAGAGCAAGGACTGCGGTCTGCTGCTCAGGACCAGGAGGAGTCCTCCACGAGAGGTAGATGCCGATTTCCATGGGCAGATGCCACAGGTTTCCAAACATCACAGAACGAGACTCTTCATTATAGAGCAAAATATTTCATGCGTGTAAAACTTTCCTGTTACTTGAACTAAAAACTTGTAAAAAGAAAAAATAGTCTTAGCAAGAAAGCAGAAGACAAATGTTAAAAATGCAGTGAGCCTATGTGTGCAGTGACTATCACAGAAAGCCTCTGACATCCTAGGTGCTATTGTGTCTAAATATGGACTTTGTCCTACGAGTCAGATTAGGACATTCTGAATTTCCTTTCCTGAATTATGTGTGCATTATCATTAAAGGCTTCATTCCTTGCTGAGCGTCAACTCATGAGGGGCACGGGATGGTGGAGGAACAGCAGCTGTGTCTGTTCTGAGCCCCTGGACAGGGCCTCCGACCTCTCCCCACCCAGGGATCCTCAGACATCCTCTTCACCAGCTTTCTTCAAAACTGGACATGTCCTACAGGATAGCAATTAAGCTGAAGACTGGTTTTCCCTGACTGGTTGCCTTTTTAGGGAACCTCAAGTTTCGAAGGTGGCAGCACCAAGACTTGCCTGGCCTTTGCTGTGCATTGAGCAGTGAAACGGAAGCCGTGAGCCTTGGACTCGAGCTGCTGACAGAGCAGCCCTCATGGGATGTGGCTGTGGAATTTCCCATTTCTGTGTGAGAATCTTTCCTCAGAAGAGCGGTGAGACCCAGCTGTACGTGTGCACAGTCACGTGGCTACAGGGGTAGCAGCACTCACTTGCTCTCCCCTCAGGTCTGCCAGGTGCTGCCCTCTGTCAGCTAGATGTCTGTCTTCCTCCTCCAGGTGCCCATCAGGAAGTATTGGTGGCTTTTGCTTCAGCTTTCAATATGTTGTGCTGAATTTGTTCAGAACATTTAAATTCATAAAAATCCTTTGGGAGAAATTAAAATTTTTAAGTAAAGATTCACCCCTTATGTGTCTGTCCCTGCCCATTGTGTAGGGGTTAGCAATGGATGGTTCCTGAAGCTTGGCTGTGGGACATAGGAGGAGAGAATATGAGATTTTCTAAGGAAAATTTGGCACGCACCCCTCCACCCCACTTGAAAATAATGAGTAAGAGTCACTGAAATTCTCACACATTAACCTTACTCATGTGTGCTTGAGAAAAACACCTATGAGAGAAGCAGCCTTGTCTATTAACAACTTGATTCAGCTGTGTATTCAGGCCTGAAAGGCATTTGGGCACCATGTGTGACTGATTACATCAGCTCACTCTTCCTTCAGGGTTTTCTGTTGGTTTCCATGTCACTGTGGAATGATTGCACCCAAAGACATCCTTCCGAAGGGCCACTTACAGGACACCTGTGACAGAGGTTTAATATTAAACTTGTCTGCATAACTCATTGTGTGAAATCTCCTTATTTTAACAACAGTTTAAGGTGAAGTTTTTTATCATTGCTTCTCAAAACTGACTTCAAAATACTGTTGTTTAAAAAAAAGTACTAAGAGTACTGTTGTGTTTGCCCCACACAAATGATAACCATGTGAGGTAGTGCATGTGCTAATTAGCGAGATGTAGCCATTCTACAATATGTATGTACTGTACTTCAAAACATCACTTAGCATATGATAAATACCTATAATTTTATCTGTCGATTTAGAAAGGTAAAATAACACTTTATAGGTTTGAAGCATTTCTTTAGAGGAGAGTGCTTACTATATGCTTGCTATTCAACAGTACTCAGCTTGAAGGAAAGGCCCATTATCGATTAGTGCTATTACATTTGAAGCCTAAAATTATGGCTAAGATTCATACCCTTTTAATTGTAAAAGCCTTACAACGATTTGCACAAAACCTTATCATGCCAAAGCAACATTCTTCCTGGTGAAGATTATTTAATCATTTACTTAATAGCAAGATATAGTGAGATTCTGTTCTTGGGTCCATATCATGCTAATTGTGGGGGAAATAAAACACGATCAGCCAAAGTGTATTTTCTGGAAAATCTTACTATTTAGTGAGGGGGGACAAGCTGAATTGCAATGTGATGAGCTAAGCTGAGAGCCCAGAGAGCATTCACACACACACACACACACACACACACACACATGCATGTCTGTGTATGTGTGTATGAATGTGTATATGCACATGTGTGCGTGTAATGTACACATATTCTGTGCTTGTGTGTGTGAGAGAGTGTGCACACAGTAAATGAGCTGATACCCATAAATAGGAAGGTTTTAACTGGAAAAGAATTAGGAAAGTATTCAAAGACAAGGGCTCAGCAAAGGCACTGGGTGCACCGTGGAAACATGGAGGATTTGAGGAACTCGAGGCAGAAAGTCAAAGGCCAGGGGACAGGGGGGCAGTGGCTACAGAAGAGTAGTGAGAGATGACGCAGGAATGAGTGAAGAAATGGGAGCAACCCTGCTGAATGGAATGCGGCCTGGCTTGAAACAGCAAAAATGGAGGGGAGAAAGCATGAACTTAAGCAATATTTAGAAGATCAAATCAAGCAGCTCGGTCCCGGCGGTGCATGAGAAAAGGAATGAGAAGAGTGGAAAAGGCCTTTGAACAGCTGTCCCCTCAGCTATTTGGTGCCTCGGCATGGACGCTCCTTCTTGGGGTAACTCAGGGGAACGCATCTCACTGAGGGGTGGCAGGCACTGAGAAAGTATTTCCTGAATGACAGTGTGCATGGGGGAACGCGTGAGTGACCCCACTGAGCCCACCTGGACACAGGCAAGTGGCACACCAACTTTGGGGGAAAATATCTGGGAAAAAATTTGCACCGTACTGAACATGTGCAGACTTCTCTTCTTGTAATTATTCCCTAAAAATGCCATGTTTACATAGTGTTTATATTATATTAGGTATTACAAGCAATCGAGGGACAATTCACAGTCCAGGAGAGGGTGTGTGCAGATTAGGAGCAAGCCTCGCATTGTTAAAAGGCTCTTGAGCATCCGAGGACTTTGGTACCCGTTGGGCCCAGAAGGAGGTGGGCACCCTGAGGGAAAAAGACAGCACAGCTCCTGAGTCTGGCAGTGGAAGGAGATGCTGTAACCACACAGCACAAGGACCCGGAGTACCAGGAGGAGACAGTACTAAAAGCAAAATGCTAAGTGTGACTTAAAGAAATTGTGCCAGAGTTCCCTACGCATCTGGCCCCGTGCAGGGAGCTTGTAACCGGATGGAAACTTCGGTCCCTCTGGGCCAAGAGCAAAGAATTTCCACAGGACACACAGTCCCTCTTCCCGCATAACCAAACAACAGGCTGGCGGCCAATTACGGCAGCGAAGCAGATGTTGCCCTCGTTTTCAAGTCAGACAGAGCGCCTGGCTCTGTTATAACGATTATTTCCATGTGGTAGCACTTTCTGTTCATAAAACATTGTTTTGATGTTATCAGGTAATTATCAGCAATAACCACACAATTCTTATGTACTTCCTTGGTAAGCATTGTGCAAAACAATATGCAGTGAAGCATAGCTCTCTCCTCCACTCCTCAAGATGAACACGAGGAGGGTGGAAGGACAGTCCTGGGGTCAAGGTGAAGCTGAGGCCCCCGGCACGTGGGTCCTGCTTCTGCATCTCTTCCATGTAAAGATCAGACATCTCTCTAGGCTGGCCTGCCCCCCCCCATCCATTTAAGGTTTGGCTTTAGCTTTCCCTGCTCTACACGCAGATATCTGTCAATGCCTATGTTGTATATTCTTCTTTCTTGGTTCTCTCTCTCTCTCTCTCTCTCTCTCTCTCTCTCTCTCTCTCCCCCTCCCCCTTGCACTCTTCACTTCATTTTAATTGTAATCATTTAACTCCTGAGCTAATGCCAGCATTTACCATTTTTGAGTTTAAATAGAAGGTTAAAAATTTAAGGGTGTGACTTTCCTGTCACAGGCCAGGTCTGGATTGGTCACCCCTGCACCCCTCAGTGGCTGGCTGGTGTGGTGGGACCCAGGGCCAGCCTCGGCAGGCAGCTGGGCCCCATTCCTGCCCCAGTCCCCTCCCTGGCCCGGGAGTGTGCCCTCCATCTCTGTGCATCCCACGTCCACGCCCCCTCCCCAGCTGGAAGCTCCTGAGCACCCTGACGCCCCTGTCCTCCCCGCTGCAGTGTGGGCATAGTTTCCAACAGATCCCTGTGTCTCCCATTCATGTTGCAAATCAGGTCGCCTTTCATGCCTGCCGCTGTGCCACCTGCCTGATAAAGCCTCCTGCACGCTCCCCTCTTCATTATCAGGTTAATGGGCTTCTAAAAAGATTCGCTTTTACAATTTATTATTTTAAGTAAAAAATTAGTGCTCACTGCCTTGATAGTAGATTTTAAACTGTTTAGGCCAGTATTCAAGGCCCTCCCATTTCATTTCTATCTCTGTATCAAGTCTGTTCTTCAAGGAAATAATCCCTGCACCCCCTCCTCCTACTTCAAATATTTCTTTTATCTAGAATTTTCAATTCTCTACCTCAAATTTGCCTTCCAAATTCAATGACCGTTCACAAAGTGTGGATAGCTGAAACTTTAAAAAATGCCATATCCAGTGTCCACCCCGGTCTAACTGAATCTGAATTTACAGATACTTCTAAATTTAAAAATCACAGTTAGTGCTATCCTAAGTCCGTATGATAATCTGAGTATGTGCAATGAGACACTTCTGGATACTCACCTTGCAAGAAAATCACTGTCAATACAAAATCACATCATCTGTGTCCTGTATGATCTATCAAGCATATTGCCAAAGTGCAATATCAATAGCACACGCTAGCAAGCCTTGCTGGCTCAGCGGCACACACCCATCTCACTGCAAGACTCAGTGAAAGTCCCTCCTCTCTGTGAAGTCTTCATCCATTCTGCTCACCAGCGAAGGCATTGCCTCCCCTTCTGCATCATCCATGAGGTCTCACACCGGCCAGTGTCAGTCTCGCTGTGTTATAGCTAGCACACAAATAGCCTCTTTCGTGAAATTAGGCATTAATTCATTTAGTTTAATCTTTACTGGATACTAAATAACTGTTTAGTAAGTAGATTTCTTGTGAGTCAGTTTTACAAAGAAGGACCCTAGGTTGGTGCATGTCATGGTCTTGAATTTTTCTTATTACATCTCATTTTAAAAGGTATTTAGTTATGATGAGTGGTATTGTTATGTATATGTAAAATGTACCAATAAATGTTTTGCTTTTAAAAAAGTATTTAAAGGGGCCGGGGATTTAGCTCAGTGGTCGCACGGCCTGCTGCGCAAGCGCAAGGACCCGAGTTCGATCCCCGGTACCAAAAAACAAAACAAAACAAAAAAAGTATTTAAAGAATAGTAAACAAGGTAACATTAATGGAGTCAGAGAAGGAAACAAATGACAAAGAAAAGAGTGGAGGGAGAGGTGATGGACTTGTCCCACCAGCCTAGTGAAGGACGGTTTCTGAGCTGAACTTTTGCTTCTCCTGGCAGCTGGGACCACAGGGAGCAGCACCTAGCCTCACAGCTCCCATCCCCCTGGGCCAGGAAGCTCAGCTTCCCTACAGAAAGCACCACACCTCTTCTCACGCTGCCTCCAAAAATGCAGAATCTCTGAAACCTTACATGGTTTGGCCGTTGATGATGTCTCTGTCCTTATCTCTTACTACGTGCCAAACCACAGGGGCTTCCTGGAACGTGCAGAGCTGCCCTAGCCTCGGGACCTCCCCTGGCTGTTCACACCGCTAGAAGCCTTGCACTCCTGTATCTGGGTCCCAGATCTCCTTCTCTTGCCATTCAGCCTGAGCTCACCTCTTCCCTCTCCAGAGCCAGGATGTAAAACAAGCATTTCTCATCATGCTCTGCCTTCTAACCCTACATTGCTACACTTACCATGCTGCCTATTTGGTCACACACCTGTTAGTATTTTAGAAATCTTTAATATTTATCATTTCTATGAAAATGTAGTGTCCTGAATGCCAGGGAATGTTCACTCTCCTGTCACTGCCACAGCCACACTGTTTAAGAGCACTCAGCATGTGCAAAGCACACTAGAAATATCTTTGGACTTGTTGAAGAAGTTGTTTTGTGTGTGTGTTTTATTCCACATTATCCACACACACACACAAATCCAGAACTTAATCCTGGACCTTAATTGCATGACAAAATTTCCATGGAGAAAGAAAACCAATCGTCCAATACATAACAACACATTGAAGCCATAGCGCATGCCCTAGTTATTAGAGTCAAATTTACTGTCCTCACCAGCCCAGCTGCATTCAGGGCAGGGAATGACACGGTGCATCTGTGCCAAGAGCAGAAACACTGGCGTCCTCCTGGAATTCTGCTTACCTCACGAAGATGCTCTTATTCCAAATCAAGCTCTCCCAAAGGTGGCTCTGCTCACATTCTGA